GACCAGTAATTGGACGCACCCAGAAGATGAACGAATTGTTAAAAATAAAAAACTCCAATTTAATTTCAACAAGTCTGATTTTAGTTTCTGAATAAAAAGATTTATTTCAATAGAAAAAATTTTTTGAAATAAATCCAGAATTGATACCATCGAATAACTAATTGTATGAAATATTGCATTGATGTTGGTTACTACTCGAAATATTACAAAGCTAAGAATTTCGTAGTGGTATAAAATAATTTCACAAAGTGTATTCAATTTTGAAGTGCTAAAAATGAATTTTAAGATTTCAGACATCTTAGAATAAATAAAAAATGACTAAAAAATTCTATAAATTATTAACAGAATTTTAAAGATGTATATTTCTGTACACATGAACACGATATGTTATTGTACGGATTTGAATCCATATAAATTTGCGGTACAATAATCTAAATTAATTATTGTTGAGTTTCTATCATTTTCTGTGAACACTGATTGCTTTTACATAAAAGCATAATAATACATTCATACAATTTCAATTAAATTAATCTTTATCAGTAAAAATTAATTCTTGTAATTCTATTAAATTGATGAATCGAAATATTTCTTATTACTTTTAATTCAATTATTTTAATTAAAAATTGTGAAGATTTTTGATTTGGATTTTAATAAAAATTTTTTTTGTATTAAAATATTTTTTGTTCTGAGAGATGTTGAAAAAATTTTTCTCTATAATTTCAATAATTTTTTTTATCTAATCAATGAATAAATACCAAAGTTTATGATGTTAAGCTCGTTTCCCAACCGAACGGAATTGATTTAAATAATAATTGGTGTACCTTTTTTTTATTTTAATTAAATGTTATTTAGAAAATATTTCTATAATACTATTTCCGCAATAAAAGTATAAAAAATGAATAAATATCAAATTGAATATTTTAAAGAGCGTAATATTTATTTAAAAATGCTATAAAAAATGACAGAAAAAGCATCGTTTAACATTAAAGTGAAGTGAAATATAAACGTATACATAAAAGCGAGAAAGAGGCAAAGTATGCTGTGAGGGTTTTAGAGATAAACCTCTGGAAAGTTTAAAGTCTTTAATATAGGTGAACCGATTAAGGGTTATCAGTCTTATCTCACCTAACAAGACTAAATTATACAGGGCACAAAGAATAATTGCGAGAAATCAAACACGTTTCATTAAATGCTTCCATATATTTACTTGACTTTTTTATCTGTGATATGTTATTAATGTTTCACTCTATGCTTACTATCCATGTGTAATGATCAAACTATTAATTTTAACTTGACCAAAATTATCAATTTAATTCCATCGCACAACATTTACAAACGCTGCGACTAATTGGAGTAATATAACCAAAAAAGCGATTCATTCTTTTTTTAAACATCTTCTGTCACTAATTAGAAAGATTTTTTTTTCAAAGGAAGAATGTTTTATTTTCACTGTAATAACTCGAATCTTTGTAATATTTTTTATAGTCGTTTTAATTAATAATAATGAATGGAAAAATAGTTATGTAACTACATTATTTTCTTGCAATCATATAAATTAAAACGTAGTGAATAAATAGTAAACGTCAAAAAATTGAAAGTTGTGTTAAAAAACTTGCAAGTGTTTTTCTTACTAATAGAAAATTGGGCAATAAATAAAAATTTAAAGCTATAATTCGAGAAAAACAAATATTAAAGAAATTTTTTGGGTATCAAAAAAGCACAGGAATCTTTGATTTTCAATTGAAAAAAAAATGTTAAAAATTTTTAATACACTGCTAAAAGTATCAGGAAATTTAGCTGTTGCTTTTTAAGTATAATTTTTTTTATCAAGTCTTTAAAGTTTATAAATATATTTAAATAATCATTCTCAGTTTAAAAAAGTTCATTCTTCAATTTATCTTCAATGAATGAATTTGGTAGAGAATTTAACCGTTTATTCTCATTGATTAAAAAATAATTAAGTATTATTGAAAAAAACTCCATGACATTTAATGATTGCAAATGTAAAAATGTCTGTCAATCATCAATTTTTTTAATAACATTAATCATAAATTTACTACAACAAATCACTTTTATCTGTTAAATAGATGTAGATACACTCACAAGATAAATTGTCGAGATTATAATGATTCAAAAACACAAGAAATACAACTGAGAATAAAATTAATTTGATATTTCAAACTGACGGTAAGTTTCCCGCTTTCTATGACACAGATAGATTGACGAGCATCGTTCGTCTTTCGAAGTTGCACGCGGTACGGAGAAACTGTCGAGACTGCGTGACGAGAGTCGACGAGGGTGTTTTCCAACCCCCGTTAGTCCACCTGAAAGCAAAAGCAGCAGGGGATATCTCTTCGGTGTGAGTTTCTGCGTCCCCGGTTATACCAGACGAGAATGGATGTCATGGAAACGCGCGCGTGCCAATCTGCGCATGTGTACTTCATTCACCCTTTTATCCCTTTCTTTTCTTTATCTCTTTTACTTTTGTTCTTTCACTTTTATACCCTTTTTATTTTTTAACCTTTTTTGCCTGTAGTCTAACAGCTGCTTCTTACTTCATGGCAACAGGTCATGCTTTTATTTTTGTCTAGGAATTACTCGGAAATCGATCACAAAATAATTCTCTATCAACTATTTCTTGGTTTTTCATATCATTTGTGATCATTTCAATTTCATAACATTTTATATAAAAAACCAATAAAATTCCTCAAACTTATTTTTTACATGAAGTACAGTAGCTAAGATATTTGACAAATTTCAATCACAGAGAATTGGAAAAATGAAGTTACAAAAATTTCCCTGATTGAATAAACGTACTTCAATCAATCAAATATTAATACAATCACTGCAAATCTCACATTTTAGAAGTGTTTTAATTTAGGTTATTTTTTTAATTTAGTTATTAATTTAAAACACTTCTAAAATGTGAGATTTGCAGTGATAAAAACTGAAATTCTTTTTTTGATCATATTTGTTTAATAACAAAACTATTAATATTCATTATTACCAAAATTATATTTTATTTTCCTATGAAGAATAGTTGTTAAGAGCACTGATTATTAAATATCTGTATAGATATTTTCACTCTAATTTTTTTAGATACATATAATATTATTAAATTTCATTAGCAATTAAAAGGTTTAATTATTTAATGGAAATAAAATGAACTTTCGGCTATACATTGTAGTGATATTTTAAATTTGAAATTATGATGTGAATTTGTATAACAATATGAAAAGTACAGCTAAAATAAAGACTACGAAAATGTATTCTGATAAAGACAGATTTACTTGGTACGAAAATGTGACTATCTGTCTTTTAGTCTCATGAGATTGTCGTTCTTTTCACAATGTAATATATCTGACACTGCAATGATAGAATAGGAATAAATTCATATTATTATCATACCACACAACATATATAGGGAGAAGGATAAAAGTATAATAATCTTCACAACTGTATGAGTAAAAATTATCGTCACTCATCAACCTAAGTTTAAAGAACAGTCTTTTTCCAATTTTTATAGTAACACGAAATTAATTAACGACCATCTTGAAACTTTTTGTAATCTTGCAAAGTTTCTTTCACAATAGAAAGTTAGAGTTCTTTGAAGTAAAATAATTATCATCACCAAGGTCACAAACAATATGAACTACGAACTAGTGTCATATTTAAATGGCTCTCAAAGTTGCTTTGTGCTTTCTCAAATTATTCAAACGATTTACTTATTATTCTTTCCTGCAATTGGGATGTCAAATGGTTGTAATAAAGACAAGTTTGTGTGTCTTAATCTCATAATTAATACATTAATATGCGGACTGTCAGTTGACTGGTTTAATTACTACACACAATTTTATTTTTGGGGTCATATTATTGAATATTATTTGAATGTTTATTTAAAAATTTCAAAAAGTTAATATTCTATAACTTTTTGATAATGTAACTTATTATGCTGATTAAAAAAAATATTTTTATGTGAAGATTACTAGGTAAATATTCTGGAATTAATGATTCCAAGATTTCAAACACCTTGAATGATCTTTATAGTAATTTTTGAATTAAAATTCTCTGTACACACTGACCATAGATCCAACGTAGCCACTAGATGGTGTATTTTTTTCGTTTGAGTTGTATACACTGAGAGAAATTAAATAGTTGGATTCACTGTTCTGAGCTAATTTTATGAACAGTGAATCCAAGCGGAAACTTCAAACGAAGACAGGCCGATTCACTTAAACAGTCCGGTGTAACTGGACAAGCCAGGCATAAGTAATTCGCTGAATATTAGCAAGGATCTTGGAAGCGGAAGTTTATTAGGTCAACCCTTATAATAGGGAAGTTCTTGAGTAGTTGCAATATCCATATCATTTCACCGTTAATTTTTTTTTCTTTTTACCTTTTCCAGCATCATAATCAATAAAAAGTTGTATTCTGCATCGAAGAAATTTTTTTTTAATCATTAATAAAATTTCATCTTAATAGAAAGTTTTTTATTTTATTAGAAAATTTAAAATAAATAAAATATAAAAAAAATTAGTTTACATGGAAAAATACTTAATCTAAGATGAATTAATCTAAACTTAGAAGGCGAATAATGTTTACGATAAGTTATAGTAATTCGATTTTCTGAGAAAAAAAAAGTAATTTAAATAGACGTGGAAGTGGAATATTGAAAATCGATTGTATTTTATAGTAAATTAATATAATCAAATCAAAAACTTTAAATAACAATTGCAAGTATATGTGTAAGTATTTTCACTCATTTCTTTTCTCTTGCCTTCTTAAAAACTATGAACATCTGGAAAACTATTTCACTATTGAATTGGATTGAAAAAATGAGTTACATAAATACATTATTTGTGAAAAGATAGTTTTTATTATTAAATAAAATAATGATAGCCGAGAAGAACCATTAAGATTACTCGTAAATGTAATCAAATCTTTATAAATTAGAAATATAAAAATAAAATATGATACATATTGACAACATGTCCCGCTAAGATTGATGGAAAGAAATCGAAACAAAATGTATTACTAAAAATATTTAAGAATGACTTGCATTTCTTGTATCACTAGAAGCATAACTTAGTTACTGTTATTATATAAACGTCACTTTTGGGTATAAAATTATGCCGAATATTCGATTTTTCGGTTCAGTTGTTTCTGTTGAACACGGGCTGATTTGCCTGACAGATAAACTGTGATGAAAATTGATCGCATTTTAAAAAACCTTGTTATATTTCATGGTCATCTTAAAATACAAATCTCGACAAACTTAAATTTTATAAAGATTCTTTTCATCATTACAATAATATTAGTTACATAGATAGTCGTTATACACTGTAAGACAGCAATAACAATGATACACGCGTGTACCTTCGTCTGCGCATACAAATACTATGATGCTACCAAAAGCCTTTCATGCTACTGGAAAAAGGTCCATATACATACTTTTATCTATTCTCGTACATTTCAATGTCATTGTTCAAAAATAATTTCAAAGTACTTTAAAAAACCTTGAAACACAAAGATATATTGTGTATTTGAATTTAAATTTTCTAGATCAAGTACACTAATAACTTTCCACTGGAAAATTAAAAACCTATGTAGTAAAAAATACAATAAAATGTGATTTATTTTTCATTTAATAAACTAAAAAACGATTTAAAAACTACCCACAACGTTCCTATACAAAACACCACTTTGTGACTTCTTTTTCCGCTCCAAGATCTAAAGACTATGTTTAAACGCAAATTGAAGCTTTTACTACCCTCTGGTCACCCCTCAACCACAGTGGGATGCGTAATGCAGAAAACATAGGGGTGCCCTTACCACATTTAACGACTGTCCTGCCGCGTAAGGCTACATATCAACCACCATTATGACTCTTTTCCCAGTTATAAAAGAGAAAAATTTTTCTACAAACACACATACACTCATATGATCAGAAAATATGTATACACATCATTTGTACCCATGTACAGCTTGGATTTGTTTCTATATACTACAGCATCAGCAATGTCTCTCGTTCCTCTTAACAGGATGTTCACGAGGGATGTAATATGGGTGTTAAACAAAGCATTTCGTGCTCAGAAATCAGAGATTTCTATGAATATAGGAATCAAGCAAGCCGTGTAATCGCTTTTGATGTATACAACAGATAGTTCATCGTAATAGGTACATTGGAGAGTGATTTTGGTTAGTATTTCCTTGAATATATCCAGAGGAAAACAGTACAGCTTTATTTAAATCAAGAAAAAGACATTTTATTAAATGTCATTTGATGGAAGCAGAGGACGAAGTAAACGATTGTGTGAATACTCGGAATGCTAGAATTTCTTCCACAAAATACTGTGATGAACACTGAAAAGAAAGGTTTAATAAAAATGGATTAGTTAAAAATGAATCCTGTTTAGCTGAGTAAAAATTAGCCATAACTAATTCACTAAATCATAGTCTCTATAAATTCTGATGTATTAATAATTAATTTGATTAATTTGATGTTATTTACCAATTAAAAATAAATTGATTGAAAGATAAATAACTAAGTAAAGTTCTATAACATATTCTTTTATCAGAAGAAATCTTACATCATTTTCTTATAATAAAATATAAAAACGACTTTGATAATATCATTTGAAAACACTTGTTGATAGTTGTTAAACTGCAATATGTCCATTTTAATGGAGACTCTACATTGAAGATGTAAACTAGCGCGGAATGAGTAATTTCCTTTTGTCATTTCAAAGCTAAATTCTGCATACATACTATATCTAGATATGAATATAAAATTTTTTATGAAGAATAACGTCTGACAATCATTATTTTTAACGATGTTTTTTTCCATTATCATCATCAAGAATTGTTTCACTAAAAATTATATCAAAAATTGTATATTATAAAGACTCCTAACAACGTGTTATGAATAAAAAAAATTCTATAAAAAAAAGAATCAAATGCTTATGTTTATTTAAGTAGGTAATGGTAAACAAGTATAACATACACATGTAGTTATGTCTAAAATGATCAAACACTGAAAAATTGCTACCCGCAGCAATTACTTAATGATAAGAGCGAACAAGAGTTAGAGAAATAGCCGAGAATACAGTAGAAGATAGCTGGTTGAAAGACATTCACAAGAGTAGTGATCTGTTCACGTTTCTGCTAATTAACCACGAGGATCGAGAACAATTTTATTGGAGCACCCGCAATGTATTTAATCAATGTCAGTTTAATTAAGTTGCAAAGGCTTTCTAGTGAACTTTTAATCTTTATTAAACTTAAAGAGATCTAAATAAGAGTGAAAAAATATTCAAATAATGGAGTAAGAACGATTGTCTTGTAATGTTTTAAAATTAGTAACTACAATATTTTTATTTTATACAATTTAATAGAACTACCATTTCACGGTTTTTATAATAACTTTTTTGAATTTAAGTGATAAGAACTTTAGCTTTTAAGCCACAATTGCGTCTCGGGGAATGTAGATGTATAGAAGACGGAAGAAAAAATACAAAAAGGCCAAAAAAATTTTACCTCACTTGCCACTGTCAAACTTGACTTGATTTATTAACGTCTCACCCTTGCTCCAATCCTTCCCCTTTCACTCTTCTCCGCTCTTTCTGTACTAAGTCTTTTTATTTTATCTTCCTCTTCATCTTTCTATTTCCTTCTTTCGCTATACTATTCGCTTCACCACCTTGTCGATTTGTACAAGCCACATAAGAAATTGATTTTCTTATTGTTTCTATTGCAAACAATCTAATAGAAACATTGAGAAGAAGCTTTTCTATAAAAAAAATTACATAAGATATTTTTAGGTGATGAATCCTATGGTATGACAATTTGTATTCAATTTTACCAAATGTTTGATGACGTAATCATTTGGTATAGATTTCAATGAATTAATGAATTAAATTGCATTAATTCAAATATTTGTGAACTATTTATGTTTTTTGTATTCATAACTACGATTGGAATGAATATATTTTTTCATATATTTTATTTCACAATAAACAAATTACTTTCGCTGACAATACAACTTACCTAGTAAAGGCTGTCATTTTGCCATTATATTGATACAATAAAACATGTGAAATAGGATATATATCAACTCCATTTAAAACGACATAAATTTATTAATCGACCTTAATCTGTAATACGCACTTGAAGTATTTGCATAACTCAAAACTATGCTGGAAATAGCATAAAAATATTATTTATCGTAATTTATTAAAAATACTGAATTAAATTGTAAGTTCACACTTTCTTTTAAATTTCTTTCACATTAATTTAGTTTTAAACAAAATGTTTTGATAATAACAATTAAATTTGAGCATATACGTACGTCTTACAATCACTTTGAAGATTTTTAACCTAAATAAGATTGTACGAATGAATTAAAGCAAGAAAGATCATAGACGTAAATGCATGTGGTGCAACAGATATGCATTTACGTATACACGAAAGACTGTCTTTCATAGTTTCTCATGCATAAATGTATTGCTCTCATTGTCGACAAGGGACATTACCTCCACTTGTTTGTTTCATCGACATACAGATATGGATATATAAATATATTTATTTTTGTTAAAAAATATAGTTTAAAGAAACAAAACTTACCGTGAATCCAATACCAACTGTAGCAGCAAAATTTCCTGTTTGAAAACTTCCAGTATCGAACCGAACAAGTAAAGACGTCTTACCAACACCACTATCGCCCAAAAGAATCGTCTAGAAGCATACAACATTTTTTTAATTAATATACAATAGTTTTTAAATTATTTTATATTGAATTTATAAGTAGGCATAATAATTTTAACAAATTGTTTGTTATGATTCATATAGGAGCAAAATTTATCAAAGTAGTCTGCTATATTGTATAGTAATTTTTCCCATCACGCAAGGGGTGTCACCGAAAGACCATCAAATTGATTCTCTCTGTGTTAAGAAAAAGAAACTAAAAATGTACTTAGTTTTTCACAACAATTTGTTAAGTTGAAAAAAGTTAACTTAACTCAATCGATTTTTAGATAGGGCAGTAGTTCTGGGAGAGAAACTACTTTCGATTCAATAAATAAAGAACTGAATTCATCACGTTTCAAGTAGATTAAACAACTTCTAAATAGCCAATTGGCTACAGTTCGAATCCTGTAAAATCAAAAACAAAAAATACTTTTCTACATTAAAATTCAAACTCTTCAATAAACATTTTTTTTTAAATTGAAGTATTTTTCTTCAGAAACTTCTTGGACGTCTACCAAAATCGTGTTTGATGTCTACTTCCATCTGCTTCGGGTAAGTAGAAAAGGTACAATAAAATTCTGTATGAAGTTTACAACAAAGTAGAAAGGTACTTAACACACTGATTAAGAACATAAGTTAACCAATTAGATACGGAGAAAAAGATTTCAGTGAATTTTGCAGAGTTATCTCATTTTTACTAGAGTTCACAGTAATGCGGGATTTTGATTTAAAAATTCACTTTAGTGAATTAACTCTACAGTTAGTACAGGAAATTTTCAAGTATATTATCCAATTAATTTTTCTTAGTCTAAAAAAAATTATGGATTTGGAACAACAAAGAATAGCTGTTTTAAAATTGAATTCATTTCTGTATTACATACTTTTGTTCGAATTCAATTAAATATAATTCAGTCTCAAAACATTATAAACTATTGAATCAAATATGAATTGTTGACTATTGTTGTGACTGAAGAATCCAATAAGCAAAAAAAAGTTCCGTATTTTATTTAAATTCAGCAATACAGACGTCAATATTTTTAAGTGCATTTCAAGTTGAAATCGAGACCTAAAAAACTTTTTGAATAATAAATAAAAATTTATTACTTCTTAATTGTTTGAAACATCTCATTTCACATACTTTATAGAGGTTAAGTTTAATTAAATAACTGTATTTAATCATCTTGTATTAAAGTAATCTTTAATGAAAACGACTTATCCTCATGAATTAACTTTTATGCTACCACAAACATTAACTTGCTACAAAAGTTAATTTCTTTACTGAAATTTAAGAAGTATTACTTCCTCATTAATAATCATTAATTTATTTTCTTAGTGATAGTTTTACTGATAAACTTTTCAAGGTTGTTTAAGACTGCCAATATTTTTTTCGTTTCAGGAATTAAATATGAAAAATAAACTCTCTTTCAATTTTGATAGCCGAGAAAAACTATCATAATTATTCAAACAAAAAAACAAAATATTATTAGCTCTTTCTCTATTTTTCCTCATCTCTTATTTTTCATGTTCTATCTTTATTCCGTGGATTTTCCTGCTTCATTGCTTTGCAACATAATCCAAGCGACGTCCCTAATACCCTAACCGGAGGGAAATAAGCTTGTCTTCTTTACAATTGGTGCACGAGTGTAGCATATTAAAAGGGATAAATGTATAATTGTCATTTTTATCCAATTTTTGAGTGAAACACCTGTTGTTTTACCAATTAAATAATAAAAAATTCAATTTTTGAAGAAAGTTGAATAATACACCTGCTTGATTTATATAAAATTGAGTTATATTGAATAATCCAACCATATTTGACCTTTAGATATATTTTGACATGGTTCAAAGAATCCAATTTAAAAAGAAACAGAGTAATTATAACATAGACATGTCAATAATTAATCTTACAATATTATTTATCGAATCTGTAGTAAAATTCAATTAAGAAATTCAAATTTATATTTCAATTAAACCAACAAAGTATTTGATAATTTTTTTAAAAAGCTCAAACTAATTTTCTAATGAGATAAATATCTTATGTAATAATTCAAATTTAATTTAGTAATTAGTCTAAAACGAATGTTTTCAATTCTTATTATATATTGTTTGATCGAGGATGATAGAGAATTTTTAATAGACTATATTCTTTATATAATATAGATTGAAAGCCAGATTTAGTATTTGATGGAATGTATACAAAAATCGACAATTTAGAATAAAATAATAATGACAATTAACTTATTAAGTTAGTCGAAACTTGTAGAAAGTAATAAAAAATTGGCAATAATTTCAGTTGATAAATTAATAATAATATTTAGTAACAAATATTTTTTGAGTTGATCTCACAATTGAGCAGTATTCAACACTTTGAGTTAGTTAAATTACACTTGCCGCCAAGTCGACCCGAGTTGTTTGTTAATTTTGAATAAACAAAGTACACGATTTGATTGAGTTAACAAGAGTAAACTTTGCCACTTCTCTGGTACAGATAGGTAACGAAATATCCCAAATACTTTATCCCTTACCAAAATATCCCCTGACGAATTGCCTCCCCTTATGAACATCCCTTCATAAAAGCATCCCCTAAAGATAATATCTTCGTACAAAAATATATTTCATCTAATTTTACACGGATTTTTAATACGTCTTTCCTCTTCCTCCCTTCACTCTGACCAATTATTAAATGTTATAGAAAATATTTATTTAATTATTTATTTCCGGTTGACCATTTAATATTACTATTAATTGCGTACAATTTTTTTATGGGGAATACTTTCGCAAGGGAATGTATTTGTGCAAGGGTATTTTGTAGTGGGAATTTTTTTAACAGGGATAAAGTGTTACAATCCCTCCGATAGCTATGAGTCTATAGACTAATTAAAACCATTTAAATTATAAAATTTGACCTTTAATTAAGGCTATATGATGAACTGTTTGAGCAATGTCACAATTAATATGTGCTAGTTCACTTTGGAAAATTGACAGGCTCATCAAAATAAAAATAAGCAGCTCAGAGTAATTCGATAAATAAAAATTGAATAGGCCAAATTACAACATATACCTTTTTTGTTATTGTACTCGTATTTTTAAATTACTTATTAAAATTGTTATCCTTATAATTTTAGTTATGATATTACACCAATCATATAAGAAAAAATAATTTTCTTTTTTTTCTTGTGATGAAAAATTTAAATTAATTGGAAATCCATAGCAATGATAAATTTAAAGCTATTTCAATGTTATTACGATAAATTAATCAAAAGATATAAAATAACAGTTTCAGATACTTTTTAAAGAATGACGTTTGAATTTTTAAAACATGTCCATAATTTTTTAGGACATATACATTATTTAATCAATCAATAAAGAACTTAATTAACTTTTTGTTCAATATTTAATGAATCTTATTTGCTTCAATCATAGCAGAATATACATTTTAGAAAAAAAACTTGTTTTTGTTACCAACAGGAAAGGTGACATTGCGAAAGGATATAACGGAAATTCATGCTTGATAAGAGGCTATAAAATTGCACTTGTAGTATTACAGCATAAGCGAAGATTTTCGTTGTTACTAGTATGAACTTTCCAGATACTTAAGTCATGCTAAAATACTTTTGTAATGTCATAAAAAAATTCCCATCATACTTTTCCTTGTAAATTTTAAAATATCATATTTACCCTCGTCGATGTACGTGTCATATCATTGAAGATTTTTTTAATGATTACAAGACCTATAAAAATATATTCACAACTCTAAAAGTTTTTTTCCAAATTAAAAGTTTACACTTTATTATAGTGCGGTTATTTATACATTCAAATGGAATTTCTACATTATTATTTTTAAAAAATAATTGCGAGTATTTTTTGAATGTATTTTTTTCATCTCTGTAACTCTTTTGAGAGACTGAGTTTACACTCTCCTAAAATGAACCAGTGAATTCACTGATCCATTTTTAGAAAAATGTATTATTTGTAAGAAATGTATTGTTTAGTAAAGAACAATGAATATCAAAGAGTATTAAGACAAACTTGTTCTTTAGTCAATTGCAGAATATAAGAAGTATAATAACAACGATGTGCAAAATTCAAGATCGTTTTTTATAATCTACTTAACTGCCATAAGTTTAAATACTTCATTCAATCTTATAAATTCTAAGCTTTAATTTTTACTTAAAATAAAAAGAATTAGTGATTGTGTTATAAAGTTCCATTAATTGTCAACATCAGTAATTGTTTGTAAAATATTGATAAATGACAATACGCTCAAGTAAACATAACGCTGATATTTAATGTGATTACGATAATTGATTATACATTCAAACTACATAGAGAGAATGTTTTCAGTGACTATTTTTTTGTCCAGTTCGTGGTAGACTTGACACTGATAATCAGTAAAGAGTCACTGATTTATAATAATGTTCATTGATTTATTTAAAAAGAAGAAGAAATAAATTTATGTTTAATGTGATGTTAAACGAAAAATTTTTCTCAAGTATCACATCAGCAGAGGCCACATTCTGCACATCATTGTAAAGTGGAACTTATCCACATGTTATTGCAGTGCATGACCTACCATTCCCGGAGAATATGACAGAAAAGTTTTCTCTAAACGTATGTTATTTATTAAAGATCTTACATGGAGAGTTTACTTGATACTTGAGAGGTATCTTAGTAAAATAATTACTTACAACCGAAAATTCATTGTTGAACAGAAATATTTGTACTTTTAAACTTTGAAACGTGGAGTTGTCATTTTTTCCACTTACATTTAGTGAAAAAATTCTCTCTGTGTACATTTTAGAGACATTATATATTTTGTTGATAGAATGAGTACAATTCAATTGAAAACTCAAGTAGTAGAAGAAAATAAAAATAAAAAAATAGTAATAAGATATCTCGAGAACTAAGTATTTTTAGTGATGAAACAAATGATATATCTACGGTTTGTGGCTTCCTGACACAGTCGGTTAGTGACCTCGTTGGTATTG